TTTTTTTTTTTTTTTTTGTTTTTTTTTTTTTTTTTTTTTTTTTTTTATCGTTTGGTTGTGGGAACATTTTTTTTATCTCAACGTCTATTTTTTAATATTGTAATTTTTTTGTATTTCATGGATTTTATTTCCTATTGGTACTTCAACAGTTACAAAAAATTACTTACAAAATTTGTGACTTGATTTTCATGAGACGCAATGCGAATGGTGAAGAATAAAATATTACAATGACCGACAATGTCTTTGACATACAAAATATTCAAAGTTTGTTTTCTCTCGCAATTGTTGTCGTTGAAATATAAATTACAAGCTGTTTGTAATTCTAAACATCATCTCAAGTAAAAACCAACAGAACGTGAATAAAAAAAAAAAAAAAAAAAAAAGAAAACTTGAGGAAGAAAATGACAGAAAAAGGTAGATAGCGACTCAACTGCAGGACGACCACGACAACTATATAGTAAATCGGTTACACGAGGCACCGATGGATATGATGGATGAGAGGGCGGCCAGTTTACGCAGATCCCAGACTTTGACGGGGTGGTCCGTCTCATCGTCTGTCGCAACGGCACCTCATACGGATCGGTTATGCATACCTGTACTTATACGTGTATGTGTAAATGTATCAGTGCACATAGTACACGTACGTACAAAAACTTGGTGCTCCTTAAGTAAAACAGCACACGTGCATTCATTTATTATCGAGAGGATACAGTAACTCCTGTATTCTATATAGACTTATACTTGGTCGGCTTGTGCTGTACTGATTAAGGTCCCTCCTTGCTTTACGCGGAATCTTTGACTCTTATCTCTTGCACTTGGTCAAGATGAGCTGGAGTGGTTTCTTGCAGAGAAAGAGTCGGCTGAAACGTAAAAGGGTGTTTTATTAAATTACATGTAAGATGTCTTCATTTTGAGTTGGGTCTCACTTTTTTACAGCTCGATTGACCCCTTCAAACGTTTGAAACATAAATTTTTTTCAAGTTTCACAGTTAGGATAAATGTTTACTTACGGGAGTTTATTGAAAATTTGGTGTTACTTCAAGTGATTGGTGCCGAAGGTAAAAGCTTGTTTTTTAATTCCAAGATTAGTAGGATACATATCTCTTAGTTTTATAATATCGTACAAATGGCGTTGAGAAAATGAGCTTTTTAAGTTAAGGAAGCACGAAAATTTATTTGTAAGTTGTGCATATTAAAAAAGAATACGAAATATCTAAAAAATTTCTCAACATTAATTGTACTATGCTCTTGTCATACCACAAAAAATTTACTATCGTTTAAAATTATTCTATTATTTTTTATTGTTCTACTTTGGGCCCTCAAAATTATTGATTTTTAAGAATTAGTCTGATGTTCCATCATACTTGTAGACTCTATAAATATTTAAACTTTGTATAACAAATCGAATCATACCATACTGATTATGATCTACTCTGATTAGGCTCGTGAGCATGAATCTTTGTGGATTTTGATTATAATTAAACAGCTAAAAATACATAGAAAAAGTAAAAAAATTCAACCTTGACCACTTTGTGCAGGCATTACTTGGGAGCTTTTCTTTTCTGCAAGTACATTTGATGAGCCATGCGAAGGGCAAAATGAAGAAGAATCACCAGTCGCAAGCTGGAATTCGGGTGTCTTGCTGGGCCCTTGTCCATTCTCATGACACGTTGAAATCGGGGCTTTAGACTGTGACGGCTCGAAAATTGGGTTCTTTTTTTTGTTTTATTTTATTTATTTGTCCAAGGTTTTTAGTACATTAAGTGTAGTTTTATCAGTATGAAGTAAATAATAAAGTGATTTTCTGTTAAAAGTGAAAAATGAAAAAGAAATCATACTTTTGAACGTTTTTAAGAACTAAATAAATATTTTTTACTGTTTCTCCAAACTACATCTCACAACTTTGGTTTTATTATAACTCACAGTAATACTATTTTCTAGAGCATCATATTTGTATCCTTTAAAACTTTCGAATATAAAAATATTGCAATTGTCCCTGTTACAATAATAAGGAACAATCAAAGAATTAAAGCTCCCATTTTTAAATAAAACATTTGCAAAATACACAATTGAAAGAACAAAACATAAAAGGTAATGAAATAAATGAAAATTTTTTAAAAGCACAACAATCCGCCTGTAAATAATTAATCACGAATTTGAGGAGACCAAAAAAAAGGAAGGAGCGTATCAGGCAAGTCTTAGGCTGAGACAACCGGTAGCCCCGTCGTCACGGGTATCCCGCTGACCTCTTCTCGTTTTTGTTGAAGAATACCAGCACATATCATGCCTCTCTTGTGAACTCTGACGCGAAGAACGCACCATGCATATTTGCTTGTCCATCCATGCGTTGCTTTTATGGCTACTGGTTGCCTGACGTTTGCTTTTGTCAAACAAAAAAACAAAATCATTCAGTCTGCATACTTTATTTTATCACGGGTGAATCGCTGTCAAGCAATGTTTTTTTTTTTTTTTTTTTTTTTTATCGTTTGGTTGTGGGAACATTTTTTTTATCTCAACGTCTATTTTTTAATATTGTAATTTTTTTGTATTTCATGGATTTTATTTCCTATTGGTACTTCAACAGTTACAAAAAATTACTTTCCCTTTTTCTTTTTTTTTTTTTTTTTTTTGTTTCAAGGTTTGGAAGAAAAGCAGCTTGATAATGTATCACTTCTCTTTAGTACTTGCACAATCACACGTATAGAGTTGGAAGCAAGAAAAGGAGACCAATGCTAGATTTTGTTTAATTAAATATTTGACGCCAAGTTTTTAAAATTTGACTGTCTGTCAGATTAATGGTTCGAATTCCTGTTCAAAAAAGCAAGCTGTTGTAACTATACAGCTTTTAATAAAATCAAATTTAATAACCCCCTTTAAAGTAACTCAACAATACCATCAAATTGTCACTTTGTATACGTACAGCAATATACTTACACTCAAATATAATTATCATTGAAGAAATATGTATTTTTTAAGATATTTAATTACAAGAAAATTTTTTAAAGGTAATCAAAAGGTAATTATTCCTAACAAGAAGCAAAGATTTAACAAATCATGTATGCTTATTATTTTTTCTGCGTGTGCAATAGCGTTTGAACAGATTTTAAATTGATGGAGTCTGCAGTAAAAAAATTATTTTTACAAATATACTAACCATCGATAAATTAATACGTTAATGCGCGTATATTAATTTTTTATTTTTTTATTTTTTTATTTATTTTTTTATTTTTTTCCTCTTTTAAATCGGGATGATCTGTCTTATTGCAGTTGTCTGTTTCAACCCATAGTTCTTATGATTATATTTAATAGTAAAAAAATTTGTTGCCCCATGATGGTAATAATGTTAATAAAAAAGTTATTAAAGTTTTTATTCAAAGTTTTGAAAGGAATAAAAAAAAAA